TGCGGCTAAAGCACTTTCATCTGACAACCGAGAGATGGGAGATGCCACCATGATTATCATATTTTTTAATTCTATTATTTGTTGTGAAAAAGGGAAACCCAAAGCAAGTCAACGTCAAACCGAAACCTCAACCAACCTTTTGTGCATTAGATAAGCAAATGATGGCTTTACTGTACATCAGTGTTGTATGGTTCATAGGTGTCCAGTTAAGATTCAGAAACTTTTTTGTGCACTTTCTAATAAAAAAAGGTCTTGTTTGTCTCAGGGTTCTTTTTCTTTAGAGTCTAGATTCTTCTTCAGGGACCTTCTGGTATTTTCAGCCTTCGTTTTGTCAGTTGCCCCTTTTCAATCCTAAGTGCCCTTCTTCAGGCTGCTGAACTGCATCATGGACCGAGCTCATGTCAGCACAATACCTTGAAGTGTGACAAAAGGACAACATAAGACTAGTAGCTCTCGAAAAGCGCACACTCAAGACTTGTAGGCAGAAGATGACATCATTTTGTACCATTATTCTATTCACTAAATGTTATCAGAACGAAATAGGGATACATTTTTCCTCATTATTAAGGGTCATTTGTCTAATGCAACACCATGTTGGGTGTGCATTGATGTAGGCATCACTGATGGTGTCCATGGTAACAGATCTTTATTAGCATCACAGCTGGCACTGCTGCCTGCCATTTATATGGAGCATAATATTACAAATATGATTGTAGATTAATGTTCCAATACACTTGAGCTTTCAAGAGCTTTGAAATCCCTGTGGCCATTCAGATCAGGACTAGGTCCTCCTCCTTAACAATACAAATATTGAAGTATTGTCTACATCATTTTTTAAACAACAGCAAAAATGGGGAGCAAGAAGTTGTAAGAGGGCACACAAGGGTGGAAAAAAACTGATTTGCAGAGTGTTAATCAGAAACAAGGAGACGGGAGATAAATGAGTGGGCAATGAGTCACACTGAAGGGAGGCGAGATGGGATGGAGAAGGGCAGGTAGCGGACGAAAGAAAGAGAGAGGCAAATAGATATTGAATAGACTTAAAAAAGGTAGATGGATGAAAAGAATTAGAGAAGGGAGATATGAGAGGACAATGTTATTGGTTGCTTCCTTAAGTCACACACACACCCTGGGATGAGTGTGGTGTAAAGAACTCATGTGTGTGTACAATATGCTGCCAGAACATGCATTCAAGTTATTCCCCGCAAATGAAAGAGATCTATTAGCTGTTGTGAGAGAGTTAGCCGAGCACCTTTAGTATGGCCAGATGGACTAACTGTCTGTCTGGTAGGAAGTAACAGGCTGTACGCTTCTTTTTGATTGGCTCTAATTATGATCTACTGCCGTGCCTCCCAGGGAATTGCTGACTGGGTGATGTGTGTCGTAGGTGTGCGCACACACTCGTCTGTGGAGAATCCAGAGTTTTCAGAGGGAAAACAGGGCAGGCTTAAGATGTTAAGCAGGTGAAAAATAACAGGTCATTTCCAGGTTACAGCAAGTGTTCCTCATTGTAGAAAAGCTACTGCTTGCTGGCGCAGAATTGTCTAGAGCTGAACAATTACAGGGACACAAATTAAGACAGGAGATAATATTCCCAGCTCTGCCATTCAGTTTTCATTGTATCAAGACATTGCTATTAGCGTAGGTCTATAATAGCACCTACAACAAGGTCGTTCAGAAAAGACAAATCACATGATTTTTGTTCTCAATACATTTTATTTGCTCAAATGTCCTTTTCGAGTATTTGACATTTCTTAACCATTAAAAGTTGAGTATCTCATTGCATCACACATCGTTTACATTTGTGATGTAACCTTTTAAGCGTCCAAAGAAGTCCTGGAATTGCTCATTAAATGGACAATAACAGTTCCATAACAGTCTTGCTGTCTGGGTGAAACATTTGGAAAAAAGCTACTAAACAGAGGTATGTAATATAAATAAAACGTGCATGATATTGAGTACAACTAAAATTCTCTCTATCCTCATTTGTGCTCCTTTTTTCTCATACAGTACTTTTCATAGTCATCTTTAATCTTCTTGTTATAAAATATTTGGTCTCCTCTTTTAGCCTCCATTCTCCTCACCCTCCATTACTTATGCTCAACTTGTTCTTCCTTCCTTTCCCTTAGCCACCTATTCTCCTTCCTCCTCCCTTGTCCCCCTCTTCGTCCTCCCCTCCCTCCCTCCACTTCTCTTCCCTGCTTTTTCAGAGGGAGCTGATCTACATGCCAGGCCTCTCCCTCTCCTTCTCTTTTCATCCAACCTCTAATCAGATCAATTCACTATTTCATTCACAGGGATATAATAAGGTGATTATGCATGGGCCCTGCGCTGCTGCTGCCCATACTTGGACTCACACACACACAAACACACACAGACACTGGCCCTCTAGCACTGATGGAAGTTGACGTTGCATTTCCTTTAAAAATTCTGTGGATGTCCTCCGTCAGAGAAATCTGGCAACCCAGCGCCCCCCCCGATTCATTTGTCTCTTCGCTTCTAATCAGTGTCAGGATAGAGGACGCAGAGGTGGAAGAACAAGGGAGGGGGGGAGGAACACACGAGGAATCGGGGAAGGAAAGCGATTCTAAACGTTTAATTAGAGTCCACCAGGAGACCTCTTTAAATCAAACTCCAAAATCACCACACCGGTGAATTTAAACAAGGATGACCTCCATTGTTGCAGCTCAGCAATCACCTCCATCAATTCTACTTTCCACCCATATGCAATACTTTTATCTTATAGATATCTACAGGATTTGTGTGTTGGCCAACATGTTAACATAGCAATTCATTTAGGTTGTTTCATGTATTTACTGTATGTGTCATAACAATGCATTAAAAGTTTATTGAATAGGGAAAATATCTGAATTAAGAATGCCCTTTAAGGTTTTAACAGCAGAATAAAGAATTGTGAAAATGGAATATCATGTTAGGGAAAGCTAATATAGCTATACTAAGACTGGGGTTCCCTGTGATAAACTTCTCGTATTTGTCACTAGATAATTGATTCAATGTTCTCTTAATGGTTCGTATCTCATAGTTAATGTAGTATAAGCTTAGGCCAAAATGTACAAAAAAAGAATTGTGGATTTGTATTTTTTTCGTAAATGTATATCCGAAGCCCAAACAGTGAGGCTCAAGACCTTTATATAAGTCAGGAGGGAAAGTTTTTAAAGTGAATAGCACACTTCTCCTCATGAACTCTTAAAGCTGTTTTCCTTTGTGTGTGTGTGTGTGTGTGTGTGTGTGTGTGTGTGTGTGTGTGTGTGTGTGTGTGTGTGTGTGTGTGTGTGTGTGTGTGTGTGTGTGTGTGTGTGTGTGTGTGTGTGTGTGTGTGTGTGTGTGTGTGTGTGTGTTCTGTGTGTATCTAAATTGTCCTGATGAAGGTTCTAAAATAAAAAAAGTTCCCTTTTTTGTGTGTGTATATTTTGTGTTACCTTAGGACTGTCCTTCAGACTTCTATACGAGAATGCAGCATACAATTTACTGTAATCGCAATCCGACAAGGAGAAAGGAGATGATGGGAGGGGAGCAAATAAAGAAAGTCCCATACCATAGAAGTGCTGATACATTAAATGCCTCGGTTGGGCAATAGCACACCTGGCCATATGGGGGAATAACACCCTGACTGGCTGCAGAGACAAACACTCCCATGAAAGCAAACTATGCAGCTTTATGAAGCCTATTATTTCTAACTCTGTGCGGGTATGTTACAGCTCATATAACCTACAGTGAAGCATTAGTGATGAGTGGTTCCTCCAGAAATATATCACTCTAATAGATTACATCAACCAGAATCCCTGTTTATATGATGTTAAAAGAATCAAGCTACATAATTTATTTTATGCTAGAGTTTATGACATTCGCTCCACCTCTACCAGCTGCCATAGTTCAATAGTGATGAACGCATTAGTGCATCAGTGATTATAATATAATAATAAACATTATTCTGAATTGGGTCCTTCTGCATGTTGGTACTTTTACTCAATATATGTTGATAAGTATTTTTACACTGAATTGTTGCAACTTTCACTGAAGTGTACTTCTTCCATTGGAGCCAACTCAGTGATTGTCATCCAAAACAATACAATACAATAAAAAACCTAATAGTTTATTCATTGATTAGAGTTGTTCGTTGCTGAATAAGGTTGCATTCCATCGACACAAATTATGGAACTTTACAATGGAACAGAATGTTGGAACAGAATGATGGAACACTGTAACAGAGAGGAGATTCCAAGGTTCCTTAATCGTACTTTCTGGTCATTTCAACCTTGTTTTCGGCTTCTTCACCTGCTTTTCAGCTTGTTCACAAGACAACCTTAAACAAATTTGTTACCAACTGTTTACCGTACCCTGAGATTCAAATCCCATCCGTCCAGCACCAGTTATTATACACTGCCAGTGCACTTTGGACTTCTGGTAAGTTGATTTGATTTTCCAAATATAACTTGTTAACACAGAGAAAAATCAACATCTGGTTGCAATTCAAACATAATATTCACATTGCATTAACTCTACTTGACATAGGCACACAAGAAACTATGAAAAAAGGCACAATAAGGAGATATTTTGAATCAGTTGAATCCTGTTTCTCACAATGTACTTTTTTCAGCTTTTATATTACTCTAACAGTTGCTGTAGCTGTATATTACGAGATACAATAAAGATAAGATATAGATTATATACTTATTTGTGTACTGAATTATGGGAAAAATCTAGAAAAAGCAAGAAAAATATAATTGTGGGAGTAAAGGGTTAACAATTGTTATGTTCTGTGAGTTGTTAGCATTTCTAATGTTATTTATTTTAAGATTTTATTCTGATATGTTTACTTTAATTATCTATATTTAATTAAGGACAGGTAGTAGTACAGTTAGCATTATTTGTAGGTTTTTAAATTGAGAGGCGAAACAGGATTTTGTGTATCTAAATTTCTCCAATTTCCTTCAATCCTTTCAGTTGTAAGAAATCATCATCAGGGTGCATCTCGCACCATGCCTGACAACTTTCAGGTTGAGGAAGGAGCGATGCTCTACTCCAAATCCTCAGCCTACGAAGTGCAGTATTTACTGGGGAGAGGCAGCTTTGGAGAGGTCGCCCAGTGCAGGAAGTTTGCCACCAACGAAAATGTGGCTATAAAAGTCATCAGAAGCAGGCATAGCATTGAGGATGCAAAGAGTGAGGTGCGGGACACATATTATGTTTTTATCTTATCACTTTTAAAAATAATAAAAAATACATTGTCACTTCATCAAAGCGTTTTGTTACATCCTACACAGGAGGATATCCTTAAACAAATGAAATTGTTAAACTCCCACTTCTTTAACATCGTGGTATGGAACAACTCCTTCCAATACAAGGAGCATTACTGTATCGAATTTGAGAAGCTAGACATCAACCTGCATGAATTCCTTCAGAAGAGAAGCTCTATGTCTCTGAAGTTGAAGGAGATCCGGCCCATTGTGCAACAGGTTTGTTTTTGTAAAACAGTTACAACTTAAAGCCAAAATGTGTGTGTTTAAAACAGTGGCTGGATGGTCAAATGTTTTGCTTACATGCATGTAAGTTGCAATTACCGTTACGAATTCACCTAACTTTTTAAATTGTAAGAGGTGATGAAGATTTTGAAATAGCAACCTCTTGAAAACAACATGTTTCTAAAAAAAAGTTTTTTAAGTTAACAATGTATTACATTGTATTTTGACCAATAATCCTGATTTCAGTTGGCTATTGCTCTGGATTTCCTGGATGTGGTTGATATCGTACATGGTGATCTAAAGCCAGAAAACATAATGATGGTGGACCATGTTCGGCAGCCACTCAAGGTCAAATTAATTGACTTTGGCCTGGCCGTAAACAACTCTGCTCAGCATACGGGGGAGACCATGCAGACCCTATATTACAGGTATGTAACTGACAGGATATCACAAACGATATGAAATGAATTAAATACTTCACACTTATGTCTCGAGTTTTGAGTGAATCTAGTCTTGCATATTTGAGAAACTCACAGTGAAGTGTCGACAGTGTGCAGGAGATGACTTCCTAATCATGTGTTTGTGTTTCTCTTGTGTTTCTAAGATCTCCAGAGATCCTGCTGGGAAATGAGTTCAATGGAGCCATTGACGTGTGGTCGCTTGGCTGCATTGCTGCGGAAATGTTGACCGGCAATGTGCTGTTCCCTGGGAGTGACCAATATGACATGGTAAGTTTTACACTCAAACACAAAAGCAGTGTCAACACAAGCCATAATGTCTTGGTACATTTGGTGCCAACAGCGATTAGCCACTGCATTGACAATTACGTTTCCTGATCACCAAAGATGAATATGCTAACTTGTATGTACCTGAACCTTGGGAGAAATTCTCAAGCCTTTAGAATAGTTTAAGTGTAATGCAACCTTGTGTTGTTCCCATAGCTGAGGCACATCATACTTGGTATTGGTGAGCCACCAAGCCATCTACTCAATGCTGGAATGTTCACACATGAGTTTTTCTGTGCAACAATGAGAGAAGAGGAACCCCCAGTGTGGAGATTTAAAGTAACATTGTGTTATTATTTAAGTGTTTGTTTCTGTGTGTCACTTTAGTCAAACCACATTAGCTTACTCTCTCTACTTCATGTCTATAGACCCCACTTGAAGGGAGAAATGTCGAATTAGTCCCGCGGACAATTTGCAACCTGAGAGATCTCATCAAGGTAGGATATCTCTTTTAAAAGACATTTCTTGAATAGCTTTCTAAATATATATATATATATTTTTTTAAAAGAGCTCCCATTCTTACCGATTTGTTTCATTCTGATCCTCCCAAAGAAGTCTGATAAACTCTCAGACAACCCCAAAGTGTGTGACTGTGAACACGAGAGTTTTTTCAATTTGTTGACAAAGATGCTGATGGTGGACGCGGCTGATAGGATCACACCTAGCCAAATCCTCGAGCATGCATTCATCACCATGAGTCACCTTTCTGGCGACTCAAAAAGCTGCTCCCAGTAAGTTCTCGGATATATTTTTGTATTATCTCCGCACTGTTGATATATAAAGATGAAGTTGCATGACTCTTTTTTCTTCCAGTGTTAAATCATGCTTTAGTCAGAGTTCTGATGATGAGGAGGATGACGACCTTGAGGTGGCCTCCAGCAGCACTGCCATCCCAGCCGGCCAAACTGAAAGTGGTGGACTGAGCAGCGATGAACATACCCCTTTTGCTGGACACACAGCAGAGAAGATGAGGAAAAGGGTTGGTGGAAAAACCACAAAGAAGACTCCGCTGCGCAAACGAAAGAGGGATCAAGCAAAGCCGTGCTCTTCCTCAGCAAAAAAGAGGAAGGCTGTGAACCTCAATGAGAACCTGGAGGACAGCGTCAACAGTAAGCATCCCTATGGCAATACACTGTGGATTTATTAAGTATTTTCTTCTGTATGATAAAATGATGGCTTACAACAGAAAATGTCATAAACCCATTCAGAGAATAGCTCATGGATTTTTGGAGATGTTTGACATTAATTAATGTATTTCTGGGTTATTTAGTTGGCCTATCCGACATGGTGATAGTAGTATAAGTTTTAAGAAAATCTAAACCACCCTCTTTTTTTTTTAATTAGAACTACTGAACAAAACAGTAGAGGTCCCCTCTAAAAAGAGGAAGAGGGCCGATGAGGAGACCTGTCCAGAAGAGAGGTCTGGATGCAAAAGAAGAGTGAACTTCTTCTCACCTTAAGCGCTCCAGTCCGAATCTGCAATGACAAAAACCATCAATGCATTAAATAAATAAAGCATTGAGCAAACATATTGATGCATTTTTTTATACAATACATTTCTTTATGAAGTTATGTTTATGTTTCGCATTGGCAGTGATGAGGTTATTAGAAATCCTTTGACTTTTTACTCCTATATCACACTCCCTAAGACATGCCCGATGTAAATTAGTGATTTATAGTTAACTAAAAATATTTCCCAAAGCAGGTTTTAAGTGACAGAAAATAGTTTTCACCTTGATTTTACCATGTCTGCCCAAGCAGCATAAATTAAAAATACAATAAATAGAACAAAGCAGCAATTGTCAGCTTAATACTGGCGGAGGTAAGAATTTACCTTTTTTTTACTACAGTATGTTCCATCTGAATTTACTCTGACTGAGAAAAATCTATATTGATTCTGACACTTCTACATCCAACTCACAGATGTAACCTTGCTTTGATAAAAGAAATTATTCATATAACCCTTTTAGAAGTGAACTTGTAGTCATTTGTTTTGGGCATGTCATTTTCGAGCCTGAAACCTGAAAAACAGGCTCGGGGCTTAACAGGTTAAAACTAACAGTCATTTGAAACTGATGCAAAAGGCAGGACTCTTATGACAGATAGCACTATGGGTTTAGAGCACTGGTAAAGTTTAAACTCAAAGTAGGTAACGTTTTTTTTTAAAACATGGCTAAGAGAAAGAAAACACAAACAATGCAGAGTACAGTCTCACAAACACTGTTTATTTTAGTAAACAACTAATTCTGCAGCTCATGTGGCTGGTGGTACATAATGTAAAATGAAGAGTAGAAGGCAGTGATCTCATGTATTTACTGTAATCACATGATGTCTATACATACTCATGTGTCATGTGATGCTCAAATGAGAAAACATACCATGTATTCTATTATCCTGTCAGTTATAAATAGTGTGTTACTGCATGCACGGCTGAGAGATATACGTGGCTCAGAGGCTTGTCATAGAGGTTTTTAATTTAATAAATTAGATTAACAACTTTAGTCACAAGTTACTTTTGCATGAAATATTGTAGATAGTTATGTCAAATAGTATGCACACACCAAGAGAAAATCAACGTTAGCTGCATGCACATCTGCTCATGCTAACTTTAACAATACTTATAGTACATTATGTTAATAAGACCTAACAATCATTAGTAATGTTTTCAAAGCAGGACTGGTAGCCTACTTATAAGTAAAGTAAAATATTAAAATAACTCTTTAACATTAATTAGAAAACAATGATTACCTTAAAACCCCACCAAGATGTTATGATAACTCTAAATGTAATGATTCCTATAGTAATCTTTTACTTATTTGTTTACTATGATTCTTCATTAAAAAATAGGCTACTAATAATTCACAGATTTCCGCTGCAGGCTTATAATATGCTGTTTAAATAATACAGAGCTACGAAACGTTAGAAAGACAAAACAATATGATTGAACCTATTCCTTCTGTGCAGTATGTTCCTGTTTATTAAAGGTGGGAGAACCGAAGTGAAGCCTCCCAAGCAACAGCAAAGTAGTTAGCATGCTAGCTTGTATGTGTGTAATAAACGTTTCAGCCTTTAGGGGCTGCTACTGATCCTTGACATTTGTTATCTGAACAAACCACAGAGACTATTGGTTTTCTTATCAAGAGAATGTGGATCTTTTTGTATGGACATGTTGTTTGTGGCTGTGGTCAGCTTGCACCATGATCGTCTTTTTGTTAAATTTCCATTATTGATTTAAAGGATCTCTTATCACGTCTGCCTTCAGAAGAGGAGATAACCATGTGCATGCAATGAGAAGACACCCAGTACCTCACAGACACCTCTTACCAGACCTCACCACTCTGCTTATTTATTTTAAAGTGCCCTTTCAATTCTTTTTAGACATTAAGTAGGAGTGAGTAGGTGACATGTCTTAACTCTCTTACAACACTATGCTTTTTCAGTTGTCTTGCAAGTTGCCACTCTTTTTAAACTCAGATGTTACATAAAAAACTTGTGCCGGTGGTTAATACAATTCCATCTCAAGAGGAGAGAAGCAGAGAAGGGACGGGAGTGGAGGATGGGGAGAGGAATAGATTGCATTACTCAGCGAGAGGCACAAACCACTTCCTGTTTACAAATCTTGGTGGCTGGTTGCTAATAAATAGATTTCTCAATTTCAATTAACCCTTTTAATAGATTTTCTATAAAGTGCAAACTGATTTTCAGCCAGGGAATCTGTCAAATGGCAAAAAGGAGACCATCTGGAGAACCCCTGATAAATGAAAATGCTGTCTCTAGATATTTGGCTAAAGGCAACGCATAAATGACCTTCTTTGAATGGTCAAAATCATTTAAAGTTGGTGTACAGACTACTGACATGTCTGCTACCCTCTCTTATCTCACTGTTACTAGGCCTGAACATTGTTATTTTAGGTTAAAACAGCATGGGATGAGAAGGGTTTGCCGAACTACACTTCTTAGGATTTTTCCGCCCTGACCCCTTTATCGCTTTTCATGCCCTTACTTCACACTGCATGTACACGTGCTTTATGAGAGGCTGGAGAATAAAAAAATCATCATATTAGTTAACTGCTCAAAATTGTAGTTAGAGACGTGTCCAGAATTTAGCAAAAATTGTCTTCACAGCAATTTCTTTCAAGGACTCTACTGACAGTATTTCTATTTATGGACTGTTTGCAGAAGTTATCAGAGGGGAGGTTAGAAGCAGAACTATATAGGAGTATAAATCATGCTAATCAAACAAAACTGCAACAGCAGCAACATATTTAAACCTTACTTGTTAGCTTTCACCCAAAAGTGGAGTGAAAAGAAGCATTTGTTGTTGATGGAGCAATGCTGTTTTCATGTCAGAGAGATAAGGAGAGTATGACAAGAACATTAACTTCCCCTCTTCTATCTTTTGTAAATCATTATTATTGATCACTTACTGGCAGGAGCACTAGATATACCTAGAAAGAGTTCCTGAATGCTGGTTTTACTAAATATACCCCTTTCGACCACTTATTGACTATTTCTGGCAATTGTACAGCTAAAGTCAGCATCTTATAGATCTTGCAAATCTCCCAATGTCTAAATGTGCAATTAAAAATGAAGACCATATTTCCTCTAACCTTAGAACAAGGAGACTGTTTTTTTATATTTTGTTGGTTTGGAAAACAGAAAATGAACAGCCAAGACGAGTATAATCTTATTGGAAGAGCTGGTTAGGGTGCCAAAATACGCCAATCATAGGATTCTGGAATATAATTTTGCAAAGATACTTATAAACTTACACAAACAACTGGTAAGAGTCCTGGTTTTACTCCCACTAATACCAGTGCACAGAGAAGGCGGACATTGGATGGCTCTGTCTCTCAGCATGACTGGTGAGGGACAGAGTGATGCATGGGTATAGTCCAGCTCTTCAGCAGTCAAGTCAGGGATGTTTTGATGGAAGGTGAGGGAATAAACATCCACTCAAGACAAGACAGATCGGTTCAAAATGACCTTAAATAGTGTTCCCAGTCATTTATCCAGACCATTGTTGATACACACATCACCAAATCTCCTCAGGCTGATTAAGTGCCCGAGCCAAACCACTCATTCAACTTAGGCCCAGACATTTATGACTGTGTTATTTTTTGTCCGATGCTCGAGCAGTAAGAATAACACCAACAGAGGAGAATGAAGAGATTGAATCCAACTAGTTTTCAATCTGCTGTGAGGAAGTGGCCTGTCTCTCTGAAGTAAAGAGTGACAGAGATGTGAAATGAATGGACTGCATTACTGTCTAGCTCAAGCGATTATGATGACAGAAATGGAAATTATGGTATTTTTCCTTTTGAAGACGTCTCAGAGTGGGGATCTGACCGCGCAGTGAATGGAGGAATTGAGGGTGGTACAAAAACATAAATATTGATTTCCATAAGAATAGAAAGAAAGTCACTCTCGGGGGGGATCATTCAGTTTCTGCTTTGAGGACTAGGAGGATAAGCTACTGAAAGAGAGTGGTGACAACTCAAATGCTACTCATCATAGAAGTCCCCAGTCTCCTGTCTACCCTGTAGAGACACGTTTCCATAGGGCACTAAGATTAATTACATTTTCATGTTTAAATTAACAAATTTAATGTCATAATTTGGAAAAATAAATTCAGTTTGGCAGTTTATCAAACAAATCCTATACATTAATTCTGAAAAAAAGAAATCACTTCATCTTCTGCTTTCATTTAAGTCATGTTATAAACCCTACATGTTTTTGTTTTCATTAAAAGCAACTCATTTTAATGTTCACTGCAAATATTAGGGCTATCAAAAGCATACTTTTAAATCTTTGCAATGAAGATATAGAAAGACATTAACTTGTCATTAGGGTGGCTGCACACTCTTAGAGATCAAGGTGCTCTGCGATTCTGAAGAAACAACATCAAAACACACGGAAAGAGAGGATGAATCAAACTGTCAATGATGCAAATATAAGAGCCGCAGGCAAAAAAGTATTGAAAAATAATAATGACAGGGTCTGTATTTATGTACATCAATCTCTCTCATTAAACTGCTGACAAGTAAAATAGAGATGACAAGAACAAGGCAAACTCGGAAATTACTCTTATGACACTGACTGCAGCAGACTTCTAATATTTCTTGTTAGAAGTATTATATTATTGATGATTGGTTGCTGTAGTGCATGGTTGAAATCAAGCCCTGCAGATTCCTTGCACTCCAGGGTCTTTTTATATCTGTTCTCTGGCTTTACGCAGATAACAAATACAGATAACCCCAATGACCTCTTGGACAGGGATTTTTTCATTGCTATGCATGTTTTTGTCTTGTGTCACAGGATATGTCACGATAAATGTCAGAACATATTGGTTATGCTGTTCTAGCCTTATCCCCACAATCAATAATAATGTAATGTAATATGTCCGGTAGATAGATGAACACTGTCATGGTTGATAGCTCTTAATACAGCGCTTAGGATTGAGATCCTTGCATGACCACTTGAGAAGATCTCTTTCAAGTGACATTTTGAGTAAGAAGTTACTTTCATGGTCACTGGCCAGCAGCATTAGCATTCAGCAAGTGCACACACTGGCTCTAACTGCAGGCCCTCCGAACACCACTGCTATGTGACTACAAAAGATGAATACAAACCTCCTTTATGCAGCATGTTAGTAAACGTGATTCCTTTCTCATGCTACAGTGTAAACTAATATACCTGCATTGGACTATACTTACTTCAAGTTAGGACATTTAGGGCTGACAGCCTTTGCATATCTGAAAAACATTTAAATGTGTATGAAGCGTAGTGGAAAAATTATGAGGAGATAATACATTTGCTGGTTAAAGATGGAACTTAGGAAAATGAATTAAATAAGCAAACACCACCTGAAATCCCTTCAGTCTCTCAGTGGTTAATGGCATTCATTAAGAGCATATAGGAAAATAAGTCAAGGTCAGTAAGGTCTGTGATAAAAGGAATAAAGGTAGATGTATGCATGAATGACTATTAGTCAAAGTAGAACCCTTCATCGGCTTCTCTTGTCTTGTATCTACAGTGAAATGGGCCAACACTGCAGACATTTCTCTCTATCGTGCAGTGTCAAAGTGACAGTAATCGACCGCGGGGAGAGCTTTGACAAACTGATGTCAATAGTTTCTTTCTAGATGAGGTGGCAAGTAAAACTCATGAGGCTTCATTAGTAACTTCAAACACACAAAGATTTAAAGTATATTCTTTCTAGACTTTGATCTGCATATTCCCCTTGGCCAACTGGACACATTTTTGGTTGCTCCTATTCCTAATTGGAGCCATCTAATGTTTAAAATGTATTGTCATCAGGGTTGATGTAAATGATTGCCTAAGTTTAATTATTTAAATATTTTAATTATTATTAATTTATAAAACATTTAAATTGACATTTTTTAATAAATAACTAATTCTATAGAGGATATGTATCCCTGTGATTTAAAATAGCATAAAGTATACTGTATAGATATGCTATGAACCTAAATACCTTGTCTATTACATCTGTCACTCTGTCTCTTCAAAAGAGCACCACAGCACCTCCAGGTGGAGTGTTTAAACATTAGCCTGCATAATCAAAGTAATTTCATTTTCTTTCATTTATGTTTAACATTTCGTGAAACTCTGTTTTGCACTTGAAATATGTCAATTTTACTCTTTGATAAAATCAATAAATTATATCGAAGAGTAAAAGGAGAAGTTTTATAAATATAAAGGTAATGCGATGACGACGTTTCTATGAAAACGTTCTTAACATATTATCGCAGGCTCGCAGCATTGACGCCCAATATTCTTGTGTATTATATTTATTTATTTGTATTTTCACATGTAGGAACCTTCCATCTAACAAAACGTTTCCACCGGCGGACTGTGTTGGTACAACACTCAACGCCGTTGCCCTGCGTCACTTCCTCCCCACGTGAAACGCTCAGTACATGTGAGGAGAATTATCCACATTCATTTACTGCAGGTTTGTTCGCGTTTAAAGGCCGCTAAATCATACATAGTCATCTAATGATTATCGATAGCAGCACTATGGAGTCTGAAGATGAGGAGTCTCTGCTCGGGCAGGAGTCCGAGGATGAGAACAGTGAATTATCAGACAGCGAGGTAAGAACTGTTGACATGCTAACATGGGCTAAAGCTAACAACCGTACAACTAACTTACTGTAGTGAAACGTAAATGATACAAAAAATATTGTATCATTTACGTGCAGTTGAGACGATAACGGTCACAATTTGTTCATATTGTGTACACCTTAATGTAAACTTTGCACATTCCCTGGTCCAAAATGTGTACATTTCTGAGCAACTTTATCCAACTCTTTCATCAAAAACTCATTTATTTTGCACATTTTATTTCATATTTGTATTTGATTGTTTCACGGATGTAAACTTTTGCAGTACCTTTTCCCCCCCAAATTCATTGTATGTGAAAATAATCTTACATTACATTGGCATTTATGTTAATAATGTAGAATAATACGTTTGATTGCACAACAGTTTATTTAAAAAAACAAAAACGTATATATTCATAATAATGTGATGTCATGTGGGGGTTTCTCTGGAAGTCTTTCCTTGTACGATGTGAGGGTCTAAGGACAGAGGGTGTCGTATTGTCATACTGATATTCTGTACAAACTGAAGTCCACTGAGACAAATGTAACATTTGTGATATTGGGCTATATAAATAAACTTTGATTGATAACATTTTTTTTTTTTTTCTTTAGCTTCAAGAAGCCTTTGCAAAGGGGTGGTTGAAACCAGGGATGAACGTTTTGGTGGATCAAGCCAAAAAGCATGTCAACAATGTGGTAAGTAAAAACATTACAACAAACCTAAAATGTTTGCATTGTTTTTCCAGCTTTTGCGTATTTCTATGGAACGTTAGTTACTAACTACAGAAACATATAATTTGACAGATTTTAGTGATGCTATAGTGAACATGTAAAAAAGGCCGGTTTGAATAATGAAATGCCTTAACAGTGTTACTTAACATAGCCTACTTGTACATTTGCCAATACTCTGTCCTGTGTGTATGTTGTGATGCAGGAGGGTTTGAAACAATGCCTCGCTGGCTTCTGTAAAGACCTCCCCTGGGCGGAGAGGTTGGATATGACCAACCTGCCGGCTGAAGACGTTATTTACAAAGCAGAAGGGAAAAAACCAGCTGTAAAGAGTGGAGATGTCAATCCAGATGATGATTTCCAGAGAGAGATGTTATTGTAAGTGACCCTGCAATATATGTTGAAAGTTTGAGACTCGTAAATGGTTTGATGTATTTTAGTGACTCTTTAGACATTTAGTTCATGTATTCACTCTAGTTCTGATGTTGACTGCCACAGATGTTACATTTTTAACCCGTTCATGAAAAATATGTGTTTGTTACTTTATAGCTACCGTCAAGCTCAGGCTACAGTACTAGATGCGTTGCCTCTCCTGAGCAAACATGGCATACCCACCAAGAGGCCTGACGATTATTTTGCAGAGATGGCCAAGTCTGATCAGCAAATGCAGAAGGTGAGCTAGTTCTTAGATTCTACACTTGAATGATAAAGGTGACATGTTGTGACAAATGTAGTTAAAGCAACAGAAACCACTTCATAGCTCATGATTAATTTCATTTTGTTTTTATGTTCCTTTGTCCAGATCAGGAAAAAGCTTATCTCAAAGCAGTTGATACTGGAGAAGTCGGAGAAGGCAAAGAAACTGAGAGAGCAAAGGAAGTTTGGCAAAAAGGTTGGTCAATGTTTTTTAATTATATTATTTCACTTAGGAGTCTTTTTTAATACATTTTGAGTGCCTTTTTTTGTATCCTAAAGGTTGGCTTTTACACTAGTTTGTAATTTTGACAAAAAGTATGCAATACAGATGCTAGCCTGGCATAATGTCTTCATAAGGGGCTAATAGAGGCCACATTTCTTCTTTTGGTGTGGAGAATTAACATACATCTTGATTGTCTGCCAGGTCCAAGTAGAAGTGATTCAGAAGAGGCATAAAGAGAAGAGAGATATGATGACTGCTGTGAAGAAATTCCAGAAAGGTACGTTTATTTAGTGTTTTGTTCCTGCATAAGTTTCACTGTACAAACAAAAATTAAAATGAATGTCATTTTGTGGGCACTGGATTTAAAAGGAACTGACGTTAAATATTGATGATTCTTAAAATTACCCTTTCATAATTTTCAAAAGTGAGAATGTTTTGAGTTTAAGATTTCTCTTCATCCAATTACTAGGAATGACCGACAAACTGGATTTCCTGGACGGAGACCAGAAGAAGCCTAAAGAGCCTTCTCAGGCCCAAAACAAAGTGGCAAAAGACAACAAGAAGGGGTAAGGTGTAACATTTTAGCTGCCATTAACATTATATTTTGTAACTCTTCTTCACAAAAAGCTAAATGTTTTACTGTTATTTTGACAGCCCCAATGCCAAGAGGAAGTACAAGGACCAGAGGTTTGGCTTTGGAGGCAAGAAGAAGGGAAAGAAGTGGAACACCAAGGAGAGCCACAACGATGTTTCTGGTTTCCGCGCCAAAGTCGCTAATGCAAAGGGTGCCAAGGGGGCCAAGAAAGGTGCCAAAGGAGGAAAACAAAATGTGAGTCACACATCAAACACTGCTGACTGATCTAATAAATGCTGAGATATTGTCAAAAGAAAGAATGAGACAAACTGTAGAGATGCTCACATGTTGTTCAATCTGATTTCAGAAACGCCCTGGCAAATCTGTGCGCAAGCAGACTAAGTCTCGCTCGTAAAAACTGACTGCGGCGGGTCAATTGGCTGGACTTGGACCTTGTTTCTAGGCAGGATTTCCCTCACCTGCTCACCAGTCTCTCCTCCACGTACATCATGAGACTTTAGGAGAACATGGACTTTAATTCTAAGCTTTTAGTACAACACACCTCCGTAACATGTCTGGATTGATATGGAGGACCCTTCATGCCACACAGAGAGATCCTGCCATATTGCTAAGGCAGCTAATTGAAGGACATGACTGTCAAAATGGTAAACCCAAGAGTGGACTACATAAGAGTTAAAAAAAATAAGAGAACATGTCTTTTCTTCTTAAGGGTTGTTAAAGGCCAATTGTCTTTTGGCATGATTTAATCCTCTTTCTGTGATTACACCTCAGTGTGTACACCAGCCTTGACGCTGTCTGACTTACAGTGTGTGTGCTCTCTTCGGAGTTTGTTGTGTTCTGTTTTTTTTTTTTTTAACTCAGCTTCTTGACTCATTGATTCTTTCATGTGACATGACATTTTATATATTGAGCGCCTGTTCGTTTTGCCCTTTCCTGTTCATTATAATGATTAGTATGTGATGTGCAAGGGTGCTTCAAATAGACCTGTGCAAATGTTATCCCTGCAAATGATTTCCCTTTGCTTGCTAAAATGGAAATACACAATGTAGCCTCTGGTACCTGTATGTTTATAAACAAATAAAGTCGGAACATAGGTTTCTTATTGTAAGAGATTTTTATTCTTTCTGTCTTCGTCTAATTTGATGCACGCAGGGCCTTTTCCTGGTGTATGGTGATGTCTGTGCTGATTCTGGAGAAATGGAATCTCCTGTCATTGCGGGTTGATGGTATCTGGGGAAAAAATAATGGACAGAATGAGAATTTGATTAAGATCTGGAGATAAAGATTTAAATTAGTTACATAAGGCCAGGAAACGGATGGCCATGTTTCTGTGGGTTCTTTCATCGTTTGATCATACGAAGACCCGATTCTAAATTCAAGAGGGCAGGCCTTCCGCTCACAAGGCCACCCTGATGTCCTGCAGGTTGGTTAATAATTATTTTAAATCAAAGCAATGTTTTCACTCACCAGTGGATCTGACAGCCACCCTATCTCATGACTTTCCGTCAGTGGCATTGCATACTTCTTGGTGGGTTCTTGGTGAGCTTTGTGGAAGGCATCGATGAAGTCCGCTGGGAAAAATAAATGTACATAATCAGTATCCAGATGAACACATAGTGATTGAGTTCATATCTTCTTTATCCTGTTTGGAAGAACATGATATTGTTTATCCAGAACACTTTTAGTTTCCTTTTAGTTATCCATGTAGACTTACTGTTCTCTGCAATCACTTCTTTTGGTTTCCTTGACATGGGTTTGTCTGGCAGGACGTGTACTAAATGTAAAAACATGAGACAGAGTCAATCTCCCTTGCAATATACAGGCTTCAGTTATAATTAACAACAGATACGTTGACAACAAGCATAATGGTAACAATTTAGTGCCCAATATGTTTATTCTCAATGAGTAATAGTAGGCCTATAACCATTTTAACGACACTTTGTAATTTCTCTTTTTTTAACTAATCTTCTTATTTCACATTCAGATCAGAAGTAGGATTGGTAGACGGAAATAAACTATTGACTGACATACTTAACTTTTTGTACTTACATGTCCTGTGTGGGTTGATGCTGAACTCCGTGTGGAGTTTCTGGTATCTTTGCTCTTTCCGGATCGTCTCAACGTGAATTGAGTTTTGATGGACTATATCCAGCACCGGTTTCTCCTTTCCTGCCATTGTTTTGAATTTACAACAAAATGCAACTGATACCGAGAGCTGGGAAAACGAGTTTTTCAACGACGTTAAGGAGTTTGGACATGATTTCGTTACCTAGCAACTGTAAACAGAGCCTGGCGCTGCAGTAAACTGAGGCCACCACGCGGTGGAGCAGCACGTTCAGGTTTGGTCATTGTTTACTTTATATTTCTTTTTACGGCATCATTACCCTCCAACAAATTCTTTCGATAGCATTAGTTACTTCACAGATTAAGATTAACAATAGGTTATTCCTACCAGCTGCAACTTTAAAGTAGTACATATTAATGCATTATTTGAATTCCGGTGTTGTGCCAAATTATGCACCCCCGTCATGAAATGCCCCCCTTGTCACGGGAACGCGCATTTCTAAATGACACGTTTACACCTTAAAACGATGTTTAAAACGAAAAGTAAACGTTCAGGGTTTTTATTAATGGTAATTTTCAGACTGTGAATTGTTTAGTGGTAGCTCATATAGTCTTGATTCTTGTGGTTCAACTTTTCGCTCCGTATTTGATGGTAGTGGTGTTACGTCCTGTCTGTATACACGTGCTTTAAAATGTATTGTTTAATTTTACATATTTGTCATATAATAATCAAAATATATGTTTACAAATGTTACATAGTCTTTGTCAGCATATTTTTAAGGGGGGCATTTCATGACGGGGGTGCATAATTTGGCACAACACCGGCAGATGTAGGACTATCAATTACAAAGCCTCAATTAAATTATTCTCTGTTAATGAGTAAATGATTTGAATACTTCTTCCACCACTGTGAATCGGCTACATAACAAAGTGGAAACTAACAAAGCAGTAGAGACAAACCTTTTACACAAAATCTTATAATATACACATTTATGATGTATGAAAGTGATTGTACATTTATTTCTTCAGACTGACATCGACATCATTAACGTAAGTAAAAAAAACAGGAAACAATGCTCACAAAGACAATGTTCCTTTAATGTGTGTATCTAAGTAGGTTTTAATTTAATTGTTTAACTGTACTTGGTATATAAATAGAGAATATAATCAGTGTTGGATCAAGAGTTTACAGTATATAAACGAAACCAACATGTTCCTAAATGTGTGACCAGAACCACGGCATTTAGTCTCTCAGAGCTTTGCAGTCTTCCCACTGACTTCAGAAAAATGTATTCATCTGAAAAAAAAGCAGATTTTCCTTCAAACGACTGCTGATTTGTACCATGTTGATAGTTGCCTGAAGCTAACAAACCATGTAACAAACCCATAAAAATGTAGTGGAAGAGCGCTGAATGAATGAATATGTTCTGCGAGAAAATGTAGCCGGAGTACAGTTTGGTTTTAGTTTTTTTTTTGCTTTCTGCTGTCAGAATATTTAAAAAATGCATATATTTTCCCTGCATGTGCACAAGCCTGCTCAAGTGTATTCATGTGTGTGTGCTGGCCTAACAGCTGTGAGCGTTTCACACTTACAAGAAACAAACTTTCAAGAAAGTATTAAGCTACCCAAGATGACCAGTGACCTTGTGGCCGTGCAGTGTGTGTACACAAGTAGAGTGGCATTTCTTCACATTGTCTTGGACTACACTTGACTTCCCCTGCTCTCAGCGGTGTCACGGATCACACATGAATAACAGTACTTTCCCATCTTGTAAATAGTACTTATGGTTGAGTGGTTGCTGTTGGTCGCGCTGATATACTTTCAAGGCCACAGTTACAACCCTGCCTTTTACCACTTGTCTCCCCACATTTAATTTCCCTTTCATTTGGTTTTCCGCTTCTTCTCCTCCTGCAGCCTTTCTTCCCGAGTAAATTCGCTCATTTGTTTTTATCTTTGTGTGGTTTTGTGTATTTGCTTCTTCTAACAGTTAGACACTTTAATATAGGTTGAGACATTCAGCTTTCGGTTTCCATCTCATAACCTAAATCAAGCTTTATTTGCCCTATGTGAAAGATATAATTGAAACAAGTAATAACTGTAAAGCTGGAGGGACTTGAGAGGAAGATTGTGTAATTTCTGTGTGGGTGGGTGGCAAGTCCCCTGTGGTGTTTCTGTACTAGGAGGAGTGAGCAATATGTATTACGGGAAGATGGGAGGGCTTGGGGTGTTGAGCTTTGTTCCCCGGCTCCTGTCACAGTGTCGGACCGAGTTATCATCAAGGCAGCTTTACAGTTCCTAAGGGTAGGTGCAGTCAAAGGCCAGTTTGTGAGTTTGTTCAAAATCCAGTGTCAACCACATGCCAGGAAAGGTACTGTACGTGGTGTGTGAGTTGATCCAATGAGACAAACTTTCCACTAACTATTTATCAATCCCCCCTTCAGACACATACTTACAGAAATTAGGAGACATTTGTACAGCAAGAAATGTTTGTTTGCAGCAGGGAACTAGTCTCCATCACCATCATCCCCTGAGTGGGAGAATTTTGTTTGCTTATAATGTGGCTGAGAAAATCATAATGACTGTCTTGTGTGAGGGGAAGTGTTGTGAAAGCATTATCCTGTATTCTGTCTTGAGGATTTGATTAAGTGACATGCCACTTGTTTTGTTGTCGCTAGTTTGACCACAGAATCATTTGTGTTCACTCCTGTCACTCACACACTAAATATGGAAAACAAACAGTGGTATAAAACATACAATTTCAACACTATCCCTATATCGGATTCGATTCCGAGGCCTCCGAGGTCTTCCATCGAAGTACTGGACCCTGCTGAGATTCAAAGATTGGACAAGATCAGGCTTGTCCAGATTAGTATGGCCATACGTATAAAGTGAGCATGCACATATGCTATTTATGCTGGTAAAACGCCGCTAACTGCTCTCAACACTCTTGGCTATGGATTAAATAACAATCTTTGTTGTAATTCAAGTTATTCTTAAATCCACTTAAAGGTGGGGTAGGTAAGTTTGAGAAACCGGCTCGAGATACACTTTTTGTTATATTCCATGGAATGCTCTTAACATCCCGATAGCAATGAATATCTTAAGTGCTTTGACAAAAAATCCATAAAAATATTTCATCTGTGGAAGCCGTAATACTGTAAAAAGTACGACCAATCATTTTAGCCGGCCCGGCTAAAATAACTAGATGGCCTACCTGCCTGTCAGCCTTCCATCTGTGCACAAACTTACCTCGTGCCCTCATTGGTCATGTGCGCGTTTGTGTGTGTTGGAGGAGGGGCTCTGTAAGGAAGTGGCAGATTTTCTCCGGTTGTGTATTTTCAAATTCTAGCAATCTCGAGCCGGTTTCTCAAACTTACCTACCCTACCTTTAAGGACAATTCAGGGATTTTGCGTCAGTGTCATTGGCGTCAAGGGCCTAGTCATTTCGAAATGTACCCTTGTCTATATCTTTCACACCTTTGTGGTACCTTTTAACTCCGATGTTCGATTGAATATTTTGGTTTTGTCGAGCCAGCTAAATCAAACAAACTCTGGCTCTGTTGATCTTACTTCGTAGTATTCCACAACTTAAGCCTATGTGGTTGATTTATTTGCTGTTAATAAAAGTACTCAAATAATGACCAAGACATTTACCCCATTACCACTGGTGTCATTTTGCTAATATATTTTATGTAAACACAATGGCATTATTTGAAATGAGAGGGAAGGGGGTTTGAATATTTTCTCACCTTCAAGATAAAAATATTACCAAAGAGCGAAGGCAACTGTAATGAGATAATGTTATAGAAATATTATTTGATCCCACTATCAAAGCCATTATCCGCATATCTCACATTCACACTCCGTAACGAAGAGGAAGATCTCTTCAGAAATATACAAAGAATGACAAATCAGTATGAGCATGAGTGCCTTTACATACATGTACCCATCACATATCCCTTGCTTTCCTTTAAGATATGTACCAGCACCAGCCTCTGACCTTTCCTAACATGCTTGTGTTTTAATTACCAAGTGCCCTCTTTTGCCTGCTAATTAAAGCACTATGTCATGTATTATTCAGCCATTTTCTCTACCATTACTATAACATAAAACAAGAGGTGCACACGTTCCCCCGTCACCCTCCATCTAATCCACTCCAACATGCGTATGATCGCTAATGAAAGCCACTGATATTTTTCAAAGATGTGAAAATGTATGCTGAATATCCCTCTGTAGTTTTTTTCCCTTATTTTCTGGAAGCTGCTGACCTTTGCTTTGAGGGACTGTGACTGAGATTCAAAGAAAGCTGTACCATTTTCAATCAAGTACCACTTAATACAAATGTAAATTGATTTTCTGATGCACAAAGGTGGTCAAGGATGGAATTTTAAAGAGCTGCTTCATTTCAAATGCACCAGTATAACCAGTGATAGGCCAATTATGGGGGGTATGGTAACCTTCAAAATGAAGATAAGCACCACATATGTATGATATACTAAACAGTTCTGCATGTATTGCCAAGTAGCAAATATTTTATATTTGTTTATTTGAGCACATTTAAAGTTATACAAACAGACTAAACATGTACTCAAGACATTTGATTATTTGTTATCTAAAATCTAATTGAATTAGTAACCAATGTAATTAATTGTACAAGTGTTGTTGTTTTCAAAATGCTATTAAGAATGGAAATAGCACTGCTTTGAGACAGTTTTGCTATATTAAATCCACCCCAAACTATAAACCAAAATTAAAACCTTAACCTAATTGCCTCAGCCTAAACACATACAGGATGCAAACATCCACCCCCAATATCAGAAACCTGTCTCTTTTGCCCACCAACCCCATTCCTACAATTTGTGAATGTTTGCCAACTTCATTTATTGAAAAAACACTTGTCATGAACACACTAAAGTCTTAATTGAAAGCTAAAGTTTCTCAGCGGACAATAAAGATTTGAAGCATGTGTTTGAGAGCACATTATGCTGCACTGTGATCTCGAAGACCGTGAGAAAGTGGGTTTGTGGTTTGGCTCTGGACCCCCTTGTCTGCTCTGTCTGTGGCTGCCAGTCAACCCGAACACTAATCTAACAGCAGATACAATCCCACCCCAGCCCTTTGTCTCCTCACGTACTGTGATAATAATTTATCTCAGCTTTTTATCAGCTTTTTTTTCTCCGACCCCAGCAGAGGG